GTGGGGGCGGCGCCCCGCGGCCTCGGATCTGCTGATCCTGCCCGCGTCCCACCCGGCCCTGGCCCGCCCGCCTTCCTCCCAACTTCGTTTTCCGGGCAGAAAACCATTGTCTGGCCCGAAGGGAGGAGGTGGGACCGGTGCGCGACGCTTCCTGCCCTCGCCGTCGAGGGGCGCTGCTCCCCCCACCCCACCTGCGCCTTTGTCCTGGGTTTCTCCGGGTTGGGGTCGGGGGACGTCCGATTTTATCCCGGAGCAACCTGGGCCCGGCGAGGGGGCAACCGAAATGGAACTCCAGTTTAGCCCCCAAAGGGGAAGTGGAAAATGCATCGGCTGAATATGCCCACTGCTGGACTCCAAGCTCTTACTAAGTACCTGTAAAAGTGGGTCCCAACCCCCGAGTTTTAGGGTACGCGGGCAGCAAATCGGCCAACGCTGTGTTAGTTTTCTTAGTTTGCTGCGGTTTTAGGTACGCGAACGTGAGCGGGAGGTGCGGTTTGCAGAGCGGGGTTCCGCGAAAGACTGGGACGTTCGTGGGCCGCCAGCGTTGGCAGGTGGGGTTCCTCGGATCCTTCGCCCGCCCACGGGTGGGGACGGCCCCCATCTCCCCCGGTCCCCGCGGGCAGGCCACCTGGCCTCCCAAATTCCCCACTAGGTCTGCATTCTGTTCAGCGACTCACACTAAGTTCTTTACATTTTGAGCCCCAGCAAGGCAGACAACGGAGGTGTGCATTAGCTTTAACTTGATTTTCTCTTAATACACTCGAATCCAGTGGGAATTCATTTTGTCTTTAGTTCTCCTTTGAACACAGCTGCAAAGTATTCTTTCTGTTGAGCAAATTAAAAAAGCTGTTTCTTGTAGGAGCCCATCTCCGTTTGTGGTCGTTAAGACCGTATTTATGGCGGACTCTGGAGGAGAAATAGTTTTTGTTTTAACGGAAAGGCCAGCTGTAGAAAATGAACCGTGGGAACCCAGCTTACAGTTTATGGGGTATTACTCAGTTTATTTGGTTAACTTGGTCGCATTTATTTGGTGTCCCAGAGAAAAGTTGCAAACTCAGGTGCCAATTGCAAAAGGAGGCAGGAAAAAAAAATACACACACACACACACACGATTTTTTTTTTGAGAGGGTGGCTGAGGGGGATCCCTGTTTTGTGATAAAGTAAGCAAGGGTGAAGAGAGCCTCGTGTGCTTTGTGCCAGCTCCTCTGGTCCCCGATGTACTGCAGCTAGGCAGTAAATTGTGGAGCCAGGGGCAAAGGTGCGTTTATTGCGGTCCTACAAACAGCTGGATCAGTTTCAAACCGTGTCTCCTTACAGAAACTCATCTTGAGTGTAAGCTTTAGTCCTGGAAGTCGCCAGCTTCCTGTCTGATACACAGTATGCCAAGATGCTTGCTTAATTTTTTTTCAAGAACAAAAAAGCCTTAAAAGGGGGATTCTTTCTCCCTTTAAGAAATAAGTTAGTTCAGAATTTGATGCTAACACATTGAAAACAAACCAGTTTCCTGGAAAGTTTGGCACACACACCCTCTACCCAGCTTCAGACACCTAGTTGGGGGAAAATAATATTCATACAGTTCATTTGGAGAAACATACATGGTGTAACTAGCATGAGACCTTCAGATAAATACAGTGAGAGTATGATCCAGGGCGTGTGAAGTGTTCTGTAAATGCCCAGCTAAGAGTAGGCAGAAGGGAGGAATAACTTCAGCTAATCCCGCTGCATCAAATTGTGGGCTGGGGCTGAAACAGATCTGTCTTCCGTTTTGACTCACATTTTAGGAATTGCAGGACAAGTTAAAACTAATCTTATTATTCATTCAACAAACAGTTCCTCAGCATCTGTGGTGATGTGGGCGCTGCTAGATGTGGTAATTAGTCCACAGCAGTTCTTACAGTGCTGGGGACTGTTCAGTGCCGTGGCCACTGGCCACCTGTGGTTCCTGGGTGAGCGGAATGTGGCAAGTACTACTGAGGCGTTGAGTTGTAGTTTTAATTTTAATTTTAAGCAGTTTAAATTTAAACAGGCACTCTAGGCTTGTGGTCACCATGCGGGATTCTGTGCAGGTCTGTGGGAACACACGGGATCTACTTGAAGGATGTTTTAAGTGAAAGTAGTAGCACAAGTTCCACGGATTAGTCCTGGGACAAGAAAAGTTTACTTATGCTCACACTTATGCTTAATTATATTTCAGAATGTTGAAAATGTGCAAAAAAAAAGATCATAGAAATACAGGCAACAGTGAGTAAATACTTCACTTTTTTTTTACTGACTACTTCTTTTCTGAGAGTAAACATTTTAGTTAGTGTCACTTCCTGTGAGCAACCTTGCTGAGGGCGAGCACTGAGTCAGTAGTGTCTGAAATGCCATTCAGAAAGGCTCTGAATGTCTGTGCCATGCCTGTGGGTTGCAAATGGAGGCGAGGTTCTGGAGCCCGCAGAGTAGTCCGGAAGGGGATCAGTAGGCAGTTCAAACTGGGTGACATGGCCGAGCCTTGCAAAACGTTTGCACAGCAGCTCAGTCGAGGGAAAACTGTCTTACCCCTGCAGCTCAGGAATGTTGGATACAAGGTAACCGCACCCTCCTTCCCCAGGAGCGGATTCAGGAGACATAAAGTGGCACACAATGTATGGTGTTTGAAGTAGCAGTGGGTGCCTCCCCCGCAGCTCCTTCACATTGCAAGACCCAGGTGTGGCCCACGTGCTTGGGTGTCGTGCCGCTTCTGTGTGTGTAACGGGTAAATGTTATACCTACTCAGCACAGTGTTTATGTGTGGGGACTCAAGTAAAAATAAGCATGGCCCGGCACTCGCAAACGTCCTGGAGCTTTCAGTTTGCCTAAGAGCCCTTAGGCACACAAACCAAGCATCGACCCCTGGGCCCTGCCCGGGCGTCCTGACCCAGGGTGCCCCCGGGGACAGTCTGAAACCCTCACTGTTTGGCGCTCTTCTTTTGCAAAGTTTCCTTTTTTATTGGTACCCATGTAGAGTAAATAATGAACACGTCCGTTGTGGGGAGTTGCTACATGTACGTAATGCACCTTCATTCTCTTTATGCCCCTTTCCCTCCCTGTGTCTCTCTGCATCTCTCAGTCTCTTTCCCTTTTGCAAAGTTCTATCACTGGTCAGCGCCCTCCTTAAGAAGCACCCCTGTCCAAGCCCTCATTTTCTAGGTGAGAAAAAGAACCCCAAATTGCTTCTGGTACAGGGCAGGGGAGCCTGGTCATGCCCCTTCCTGCGTGCGCAGGGCGTGCACAGGTTGCACGCGGGCCTTCTAAGCTTAAACGTGGCAGAAGCAGCAGCCTGTCTCCCGGTGGTGTCCCCTTGCCCCTGCTCCTGTCCTCCAGGCTGCCTACTCTATTGTGGCCCCCCTAAAGACCTGCCCAGGACCCCCTGGATCCTGGGGGGAGGGGGAGGGTAAGGGAGACAGTTACAGGAGGGTGGAAATGGACCGTTTGCCCCATTCTAGGATGTAGCACTGCAGCCCCCATAGAGGAGGTCTCCATTGCGTGAGGGTTTGTTTTATTTCAAAGGGTGGAATTTATTAATTTTGCAATCAGATTTCTTGCTATTAAAATATTATTGGTTTGAACACCTGTATATGTGCCAAGAGCTAGCACATCCATAGATGCTCCCTGTGGGTCTGCAGTAGTTTGCACTCATGCCCCAGGTCATGAGGTGCCTCTGCCCCCCAACTCAGCAGCCCCAGCAGTTGTGAATTAATCGAGGAGATTTCTGCACGCCCTTGCTGCTGAGCGGGTCTCGGTGGTGTCCTAACACCGACTAATCACAGCACTTCCAATCCCACGCCCTCCCCCGCAGACCACCGCCTGGTATAGAACTGTTACAGTGTAAAGTGACCCTGCCAGCACAGTTTTCGGGTGTGAAAATGCATTATTTTCACAATTTTAAAATTGACTTCCCTTTAGGAGGATCTCAAATCTGGGGCGGCGGGGGGGGGGAGCCCTTAAGAACAGATAATTCATTGAGAGATTTACAGTGATGCCCCAATGCACAATTCATGAGTTTGCTAATTGCTCTTCCTCCATGCTGGAGATGGTCTCAAGTGTCCTCTTGGACGTCCTCCTTGGGACACTGTCAATAAATCCCTGGGATTGGAGCGTGATGGATTTGAGAACTGCTGTGCACAGCCGCCTCTGAATCTCACTCACCCCGGCTCCCATCAGCAGGGTGACTTCTTGTCTGAAAGAACCCAAACACGGAAATGTTGTTCAGGTCACACACAACAAAGGGATCGCTAACCCTGCTGATTGTTGATGGGAGGGTATGAAGATGTGTAGACCGAACTCCTATTCAAATTAAAATACCCTTTCCTTGCTTCTGGTTGGCCAAAATCTCAGTAGTAGATCAGAGGATTTGCACTGGAAATCAAGTCTGTTTAGATGAGGAAGGGATTGTGAAAAGTCCCATTTTGTAAATGAGGACAAGGTGGCCCAGAGAGTTGGGGAGGGTCTCTCTTGTCTGTCTTGGTCTCTCTGTTTTTGGAGACAGGTCTTACGATATAGTTCAGGCTGGCTTAGAAACTCACCACCCCGAGGTGGACTTGAACTTACTGGGATCCTCTTGCTTCAGCCGCTCAAGTACTGGGATTGCAGGTGTGCGCCCCCACACCCAGCTCCTGCTTTCTCTCGTGGTGGTGCCACGGTCCGTCAAACTCCTGGACCTATGCAGTCCCTTCAGACTCTGGGCATATTTATTCTGGGTCAGCTGTGCCATTTTCTGTAGTTGCACCCTAGTTGTCAGAGGTGAGCTGATTCCAGAGTGACTCAGCCCCGTGCTGCCATGAGTGAGTGGCACTGGTTATGAACACCAAGGTCTGGGGGAGGAGGAGGGGGCAGGCCTGCAGCTTTGGTTAATTCCTAAATATTTTTTCTTGATGCTATTGTGAAAAGTGTTGTTTCCCCTAATTTCTTTCTCAGTGGCTTTATTATTGGTGTACAAGAGCACTATGCGGTGTGTGTGTGTGTGTGTTTGTGTGTGTGTGTGTGTTGACTTTGTTTCCTGCTGCATTACTGGATTTGGTTATTAATTCTAGGAATCTCTTGGTAGAGTTTTTTGGGTGTTCTATGTAGAAGATCAAGTCTTCATCCTTTGACTTCTTCCTTTTCTATCCCTAACTCTTTTCTTTCTTTTTTCTGATTGCTCTGGCTAATGTTCCAAGAGCTATGTTGAACTGGAGTAGTGATAACAGACATCATTGTCTTGTTCCTGACTTTAGAGGGAAAGCTTTCAGCTCTTCTCTATTTAATATAATGTGGGCCATTGGTTTGCCATAAATGACTTTTTATCGGATTGAGATAAGGTCCATTTCTGTAGCTATTGTCTTCAAAATTTTTTATCATGATTGGATGCTAGCATTTATCAGACTTTCTCTGTATCAGTTGAGATGATCATGTGGTTTTTGTCTTTGCTTTTGTTTATATGGTGTATTACATTTATTGATTTGTATATATTGAACCATTCCCACATCTTTAGAAGAGATCCTATTTGGTCATGGCGTATAATTTTTTTGTTGATTTGTTGTATTCTGTTTGCCAGTATCTCGTTGAGGATTTCTGTATCTTTGTTCATTAAATAGATTG